TCCAACAAAGGGAGTTGTATAACAGCAATCTGTGGCAATTAACGGCTCCCCCCATCGTGGATAATTGCCAGCTTGTGCGCAAATTGCTTGATTTTTCGACATACTTTCATCACTAGTGGTGGATATGAGCGCGAAGAGTGCTCGGCAATCTGGCTCCCTGGCGTTGGGGTAAGTGAGAAGAAGACGACCCAATCGCGATCGAGTTGTCTTCGTCTCAATTACTTCCTGGGACTCGCCTGTTCGCTTCTATTGACTGGGGTAAGTCTCCTGTCAAGTGAAGCCATGGTATCCTTTGATGTAGCTCCCCTTTTAATTATTTTCTACAGGGACTAGTAGTCGAGAACATCGAATAACTCCTACGAGGCAAGTACGATGAAAAGAGCAATTGCGTCAGACACGTCCAAATCCTCCAAATCCTGAAGTTCTGTCATAGAACATACTTCGCATTGGACAAGACAATCTACGACCAGGTAAAGGGAGTAACAAGCGATTTGCCGATTTCGGGACTCATAGCCGAGGCGGTCCTGGAACGATTAGAGTCGCCGGTCTTCCAACACCATGAACCGAAATTCTAGACTTGGTATGTGGATGAGACTTTCTTTTTCGTCGAACGGAAGCACGTGCTAAAGTTCAACCAAACTCTCTGCACTGTCTTCCCGGAGAATAAAGAAATCAACCCTCTGGCTTTGATGTTCTCATCTGCCGCGAAGATTGTGGTGACCCTGATACTAAAGCGTTCAGAAAATCGATCAATAGGACACAGTTACTGAACTTCAACAGCAATCACCAGATCAGGTACTAATCTAGTTGCATGAGTGCGTTATATGGACGTGTTGAGACGCACTACAGTGAACCGGAAGGCAGGGTTGCTGAACTACAAATATGACGGGAGCTTAGAGTGAATGGTTACGCGCACAACTTGGTGAGCAACGGCATGTTTAAACGCAACGAGAGACAAACGTCCACCAGCCCTACAGTTTGGCGAACGTCGCGAAAGTTATCAGCCACCCCCTCCCAAATCGAGTTGCAACTGTCAGACGCCAGTTCATGAGACCCACTGCCGCACCAGGAAACGTCTGAAGTCATTTAATAGACTTAGTGCAGTTGTGGAGAAAGAAACAACGTCGGAGAAACCGGGAGATTAATACGAACGTGAGTGGCTGAGCATGCAGCAGTGATAATAATAATAATGATGAGAAGGAGGAGGAGGAAGAGGAGGAGGAGTAGGAGCAGGGGCAGGAGCAGGAGGAGGAAGAGGAAAGACACTAGGTCGCAGACTGCGGCTCATTCGAGGGAGCCCGCCTTCATATGGCTGCATTTCTCACAAAAGGTGACAGCCGCGTGAGCAAGGAGCTGCTCGAATCAGGGGTCTTGGGTGCGTATGCAATTAACAAGCTTAATCACCTTCCGCCTCTCTATATTCTGCACTGAACTTTTGCCTGAGCAAACTAACTAGCCGTGCGGGGAGGGCGCAGGTGACCAATTGTCACAATAACAACGAACCCAAGTGCTGAAAAATTGTCACGCCAAAAGTCAACAACAGGAATGCAACCACTGCCATTAACACCTTGGATAAGGACCGAGAAGCAACCATCAGTGAACGTTAGTGCTTCTAATTATGGTCTAACTTCTGTCTTTCCTATAAATACTGCTCTCCTTTCGCCTTTGATGTACTTTTCTACGGCTGCTACTGATGATAAAATTCGCTTCAGAATGCGAAACATCAGGCCCATAAACATCTTGTTCTATAACTCGCACCTTTCGTTTACTTTTGCGTTTGAAGGTCTGCTTCCTCGGATGAATCGTTGGCCGATTTACAGCAGTGTGCGTTTTAGCTGACCTGCATACCTATTATATACATGTTGGGATAAAAAACCTCATTGTAGCAGTCCAGTGGTAGTACTTGTGTTGGCCATGGTCCTGGTCGCCGTTGCGTTTAGTCAGCTCCTGCAAACTGCCCTCGTCGCGAGGAGAGCAGCCCATCGAACCCGAGCCAGAGACAGAGTGACGTACAGGGATGTCGGACGCGCAGGGGGATGCAGCATCCGCATTCATGATGTACACAGCGCTGATGACTGGATCGTAAGCCTCCACAAACTTAATGACCGTGATCCCATCATTGATGTTGGTGATTGGCATGATAATGACTCGGCAGTATGAAAAGTCAGCACTGTCGCTGGCAGCAGCGATCGCACGCGACGCTACGTGACTAATTGCCCTGTCTTGCCAAAGCCTCCTCAGCAGATTTAGATAATTGCATATCCGGACTGGAAGCCAAGTATAAACGTCTCTCTCAAACAGTCGAAACAGTCGAATTACTGCTTGAGAGGAGATACGAGGAAAGCGAGTATCGTTCAAGACATGTCCAAAGCCTTAAACTGCAGAGACCCTCTGTAAATTCAGTAGAAGATGCAAATCGCCGGAACACGGTGTTTATTGGTCTGATGTTTAGTATTCACATTCGAACCCATCTTCAGAGACAGGCCCTTATCTGCTAGTGTCTCTGATTATGGGTTCCAGCGGGAATCCACACCGTCAGATCAATAAACGCAATTTTTCAGCGTTCGCATCTTCTCCTGAACTGGTTTCTGGTACTCGCCTATTCACCGTCTGTAAAGGTAGCTTTCGTTTACGGTAGACGGGACATGTAAACCAAAGACGTATGGTGGTGGTGGTTATGGTTGTGGAGTGATAATGATAGGGATGTTAGTGGTAAAACAACATTTGACTTCATTCGACAGGACAACTTGATCTTTCTCAAAACCAGGCATACGACCGTAATGACTCTCTTTTCTAATATGGTCTTTATGCCATTCT